CTGTTTTTGAGGAGCTTGTGAGCCAAGAATTTTTTTTTTTAAGATTTTATTTATTTATTTATTTGACAGACAGAGATTACAAGTAGGCAGAGAGGCAGGCAGAGAGAGAGGAGGAAGCAGGCCCCTGCTGAGCAGAGAGCCCGATGCGGGGCTCGATCCCAGGACCCTGGGATCATGACCCGAGCCGAAGGCAGCGGCTTTAACCTACTGAGCCACCCAGGTGCCCCAAGCCAAGAATTTTTAATGTGAAAAAGAACTCAAAAGAAAACTAATAATTCATGACATATAGATATTATACAAAATTCAAATTTCAGTGTCTGTAAATAAAGTTTTATTGTTACACAGCCCCTGTGGTTCTTTTGTGCTAGGGAGAGTTGAGTAAGTGTGACAGAGACCAGATGGCCTGCAGAACCTGAAATACATACTCCCCAGTCCTTCCCAGGAAATGTGGGCTGACCCCGCGTTCGGCAGTCAGCTTCTCAAGAATAGCCGTGGATTCACGAAAGCCCCAACACTAAACCCAGTACTAGCTAACATTCAATAATTGTTGAGTTACAGAATAGCAGAATAAATAAATGTGTGGGCTGTGACTACATCCTCCTGGGCTTGCAGACCTCATTGCCCACCCCCCACCCGCGTTCTGGGATTCAGGAGCACTTGTACCGAGTGGGGCAGCGTCTCAGATTCCTTGGCCCCCCTTCCCCTTATATTGCTAAAAAAAAATACCTGAGGATCCCCAGAAGTTTTGTTTGCATGAGTTTTATCTATCAATATTTACTGTATTAGAAATTAAAAGTTAGGGGCACCTGGGTGGCTTAGTTGGTTAAGCGTCTGCCTTCAGCTCGGGTCTTGATATCAGGGTCCTGGGATCGAACCCCACGTGAAGCTCCCTGCTCCGTGCGGAATCTGTTTCTCTCTCGCCCTCTCCCTCTGCCTCTCACCTCCACTCGTGTTCTCTCTCTCTTTTTCTCTCAAATAAATAAAATCTTACAAAAAAAAGAAAACTTAGAAATTTAAAAAACAATTATTAATTTATGTAAAAATAATAAGAAATCTATTGCTTGTTAGCGTAAATAACATGTTTGTATAAAAATAACTGTTTTCCTAAAAACAATTTAGCAGAAGGAGTCGCATGGTTTTATAGCTCTTACAAATATTTGTAATATGCGACTTAAATAGAATGCAGCTGTACTTCGTTACTTTTGCATTTCTTCTGTTGCAAATCTTTTGGTTGAAGTAGATGAAGGAAATCCAAGCTCACATATATATGTAGTAAGAAAAGGGAGGGGTACTTTAATAGTTTTTTCAGAGAACAGAAGATATTCTGCTTGGCTACTATGCCAAAAGTTGACAACTGGTAGTTTCTTTAAGATTCATCAAGATATGAGATCTGAAATCCTATCAGGGAATATCTTGTTCTTCTTGATATTGAAACCCATTAGTATTTCTTCCACTTTGAATGGCTATTCAATGGTTTGGTCTAATTATTAAAGTGCTTATAAATGCAATGTGGTTAAACCTCATTCCTTTTCATTCAGGAAATTCCCAATTCCCTGGGGAAAATTCCCTGGGGAAATAGGAAATGCTTCTGGATATTGTTAGTCCAGATTGAACAGGATGTGAAAGGGGAATCTGAAGTTGTACACACAGGCTAGTCCCCAGTTAGTCACTGGGTTTGGTAACTGTTTTTATCTAATACACCCAAATGTATTCTCAGCATGAGGCACTTCTCCAGCCATCGTCTGATAGAACATCGTATTTAAAATGAAATCATCAGACTTCTTCTGTCTTTTCTTTTTCTTTCTTTCTTTTTTTAGTTGATGTGAACCACTCATAAACTGAAATTACGTTAGTATTGACGCCAGGTTGGTTGAAAAATGCAAAGGGTGTTAACTTCTCAGCTTCAGGGCACAGGGTAATTGGGTGAGGGAGATGTTAGAAAAAGATGCTTCTCTCTGCGACGTGACATAGCTCCCCAGGATCAGCTAGGAGCGTTAATGTTAATTTGCAAAAGTTTTATATAGAACCAATAGCAAAACATTCCATGATTTAAAAATACAGCCATAAACTTTATTGCACTCAGATTTGTCTTCTTGCTTTTGAGCTTAATCCTGTGGGATTAAGCTGTCAGATATTGCTGTTTTACATTTTAGGCATTACAGCCTGAGAACCCCACATAGTAAATATTGCATAGAGGAAAAAAAAGACTGGAAAAACATACTAGGATGTTGATAGTAGTTACCTTTGGGTGTTGGGATTGTGGGTCATTTTTTGTTTCTTCCTTGTCCTTTTAAAATACTCATTACAATGAATACATAGTGAACATTATGTGTCACGTATTCTATCGAATGATGGGCTTAAGCAGAGAACAAAAAAGCTGATTTGGCCCTTGCTCAGTTTTAGATCTTTCAATAGGTCAATTTTTATGTTTCCCAAAATAAATGTAAATAATATTTCTATAATGAGGAAATTTAATTTAATTTAATTTTTATTTATTTTATTTATTTATTGCATTATTTATTTATTACAAACCAAAATGAACTGGAAAAAAATTGGCTCTTTTTCTATGTTTTTCTTTTGGGTAGGGGAGAGGGTTGTGGGTTTTGGCTATTTTCCTGATAAGTACAGTTTGGAGACTTGTGTCGTGATTCCAGTGTCGTCTATGAATATCGCCTAATTATCACCTATGAAGTTTCTACAACGGAATTGACTCTGAATGAATGGAAGCCTTTTTGTCGGAAAGAGGAAGGCATAGCCATTTCCCGGGGTCTGTGTTCTAGTGGTACTTTTGAGCTCCATCTAAAGGATCCCAACCATTCCTTGGAGCCATGAACAGCTGTGGCATGCTGGACGTAGCACCCGGATGGACGCTCCATCCATTATTGTGCGGCTAGGTAAGGTTACTTAGAGGCAGATCAAAGCTGAATGACGGTAGAGCTTGAAAACTGGCCAGTGTCTGTGGCCTGAACAGCTTGGAAAACGCACCGCTTCCATGCTGGGTTCATACGGAAACATCTGGAAATTAACTTGAGACTTGATGATGGGAGAAAGCTCCTTTCCAAAGGGATTCATTTCTTTTATGTGAATATTTCTTAGCTACTGAAAGATACTAGAATTATTATGGAATTGGGGTTTATGTTTGATCCTGGCTATGAAACTAGGGGAAAAAAGGGGGCTACTATGATAAGCAGTTCTGTGATGCATTACATCAGAACCATCTCCTTTCTATTTTTATAAATACATAATTTCCAAGGTTTTGCAGAGATGTTTGACTCTGAAGGAAGTGTCAGAAAGGTTTCAATGTAGCCAAGTGTGACTTATTTATGAGAGAAAAAAATCACAACTAATTGTAAAAACGAGTCACTGACTGGTTGTACAGAATAAAGGAGCAATAAACCACTTTTTTGCAAAATCCTTCTGCCAAACTTCCTGGGTCAGGCTTACCTGAAGTCCTGCTCTCAGGAAATTATGGAGCAGAGTGGAAGGTGCAGAGACGGCAGTGGATTTCATCAACTCTCTAGAACAACTGCATGAGGTTAGATGTTTTCAAACTGGGATTTCTTAATCTGAAATGAAAGAGGCTGGGAGGAGAATGAGCAGTCTTTAGAATCTTGGTTCTGCATATGTTGAACATGGCCAGAAAAAGGAGGGGGTACTTCTTGACAGTATAGAGAGATCCTGAAGGCGTATACAAGAAGTGCTGTAGCCAACAAGTAGTAAAATGATGGCATTCATTACCCCTGGTGGTATGCGTGGCAGGACATACAGAGGGGAATGCCGAAAGGATCTTTATAATTTCTTATAGAGAACTGGATGAAGAGAGTGGTGATAATATGTTGGTCGTGCTGATTACCTGGTGCTGAGAATTCTCAGGCCAATCACGTGTGTGTGTGTGTGTGTGCGTGTGCGTGTGCGTGCGTGCGCAGAGCTGCTGGTGAGAATGACTACCAAATTGTTACAGGAGGTGGTCTCAGGATGACAGGGTTTCAGATGGTATTTTCTAATTTATATTCCTCATGTATTTGAATCTTTATAAAGAACAAATTTCATTATAATTCAGGAAAGTGTTGTTTTCATCCATGCATTAGAAATAAAAAGATACCAAATAGTAATAAAGTTATTGCAATTTTTCTGGGTCTATAAATGACAATGAATTATGTGGATAAAGGAATATTGTTTGAGATATTTTGCTCAGCTTTTTAGGGGAAGGGCAGTCTGCATGTGCATTCTTCTCTGTCAGCTAACACAGCTTTCCCGGTGGACCTTGAGTCTACCTCAGGATGACATTTCTTGGACTGTTTCACTTTTAGCTCAAAAATGCATAATTGGACAAGATGACTCATTTTACACCCTCCAGTGCTCAATATGCCCTTTCATTTCCATACCTTCCCTCCCTGTGCTCTTTTCTCCCCCAGGAGCTAGACTTTTAAAATGTAAGTTAGAACTTTTCTCAAAAGTGTCCACTGGTTTTCCATCTCATTTATAAGAAAATCTGGAGTCGTCACAGTGACCCTTGCTCCTCCCGTCCTCCCCGGTCCCTGCCCGCAGCCAGGCAGCCGTCCTGTCTGCCTGTTCCCATAAAGGCCTGGCTTACCCTCCCCGTGAACCTTCCTGGCTTCTTCCTTGTTTCCTTCAGGTATCGGGTCCCCTCTTTTCCCCATCCTGAAAGTGGTCCCCGACCCCTTTCTGAAATACCACTCAAACTATCCCTCCTTCTGTTACTTTCTATCCCCTTGCACACAGTTTCAGTTTTCTCCCTAGCACTTACCACTCCTGGCCCAGATATTTATTTGGATATTCGATAATGCCCCTCTCTTGGTACTGAAATGTAATCTCAAAATGTAATCACCAAAACATCATGTTACCTCTGTTGTCATTGCTGCGAGCACGCAGCCCAGGGCTGAGCCTGACACATAGTCAGCTCTCAGTAAGTACGTGCTGAAGGAATGAATTCCTGTCTCATTTCTCCGCTTTTGTGTTCTGACACTTTTGCCTTGCAGAGAAGTCGTTACATTCAACCATTTCTTGGAAGCAGCAGCTGAGAAGGAGGTTCAAGGGAAAGCTCGGCTCCAGGACTTTATTGAGAATCTGTTGCAGCGGGTAGAGCTGGCGGAAAAGCAGTTAGAGTACTATCAAACCCAGCAGGCCACTGGCCTCTGCCGAGGCATCAGCGAGCACGTGGTAAGTCACACAGGTCCAGCCACCATGCTTGCAGTCCTTGGGTATGGCGAGATTGGGTCGAGGACAGAGGAAAGGGGAGCTGGGGAATGACTTTTGGGAAACCTCTAGACATCAGCTCCAGTCATCCCTGTGTATGAGGTGATACAGTGAAGCCCAGACACCTACCTAGAAGTTAGCAAAATTCCGGATACATGGTTGTCTTCACCTGACCACTCCACACCAAGAGAAATAGGTAGAGATAGTTTTCATATTAAAGAATAATAGAGTTGGAAGTGGCCGAAGAAATCATCGGTCCCAACCCTGGTGCTCAAGTAGACTGGAAGTTATCATTACCCTGTTCGGGAGCTCTTTAAGGGGCTCTTAAGAAATCTTTGGCCTTTCTCGGTAATAGCAAAATCTAACCACATGCCTCTTTTTTTTTTCCTTTAGAGGAAGGGCAACACCATCCAATAGTCTCAATAGGTGAGACATTCTTTAAGTAGATTTTCAAGAAGTCTTAGGAAATTTCACAGGTTATAGTTCTGTAATAAATATTTGCATACAAGTTTATATCTTGTTTCAGGGACTTGAGAAACCCCTGGAGCCCAGACAGGAACTGTGGAAATGGCTGAAGGTCCAGGTTCTGCTAAGTGGCTTGATCAGAATCCCTGGTCTCTTTCGGGGAGGAAGAAGGTCTAAATAACCACCCTCGGGGTGAGGGGGATGGGTGGTTCTATCTGCCCTCCAAACAGGTTTTCTTGGTATCAGTAACAAAGCCAAAGGAAGGATTTTTGAAACCCCAAAGTGGTTTATAACATTTTCATGATCTGTTTGACTTTATTAATGCTTAATCCCTTTCCCCAAAGATTTTTAAATGATTCTTTTACTTACCCCACAAGTGGACTGTACATATGAGGGAAAGAAAAACAGGGAACATTTATGCGAACCGAAATGTTGGTACAGTTGCTACTGGTTATTTAAAAAGTTTAGTTTGAGCATATTGGAAGCCAAGATTTAAAGGAAACATGATTAAATAACAAAAGAAGGAATGAGATGACAAGCAGGTGGATAAAAGAAAGAAGGCGGGAGGGACAGACAGGCAACAGAAATAAAGGAGAGAGGGAGGAAGGAAGAAGTGAAGAAATGTTATGCAGTCTTACTGTAACGTACACTCAGCTTTAGAGCAGGGCAGGAACGAGAGCTCTAGAACTTTCCAGTCAGGAACAAAAGCGGACAGGAAAAAGTGAGTGTGTTACTTCTGTGTGGTTCCAGTAACTGTAATCAAGGCAGTTTCAGCCACCTGATATGTTTATTATTTTCCTTTTGGTGTCTGTGGTCTCCTGAGAGGGAGCTTACACTTCCGTCCTCAGTTATTCTCTTACCTTCTTGGGAAACTGTGAGTCCAGTCCCAACTCTGTGTAGCAGGAGGGACACTCTGAACCCTTCCCTGCCTTCTCCCCATCCTGCTGTCTACCAGGAGAGTGTGCAGCATGGGATCATGGGGCCTAGATGAGAGGTGAGAAGGCCTGGCTTCCAGGTCATTCCGGCCCTGCTCCTTGTTTTCCTGGGCCTATAAATCTTTTATTAAATGAAGCAGTTAGACTAGATGCTTGCTAGGGTCTCTGGCCTCTTAAATTCTCTGATCATCTCCTGACTTGGGTGGTTAACAATTCTAAAATAAAAATATAGCCTGAATAGTTTTAATATTTAGGCTTACAAATAACCCAGAAATGGGTAAACGTCTACTGTACTAAGCCAAGAGGATCTTAAAGAAAGAGAGAAAGCAATGGAAGGCAAAGAGGAAGGGAAGAAGTCTATCATTCTCTCTCTTATTTATATGTCTGTGCTCTTTCCTCTGCTCAATTTATTTTTCCAGCTTGAAAATTAAACATCTTTTAAGAGACATTGCCAGTGGTTCTCTTCTCCACGCTGGTACACACCATCGGAAGTTGGGCAGGTCTCACCTCTCCTAGTCAACTGTGTATGTACGAAGTTACGTGCGTGTGCACACGCATGTGTACACATAAATACATAGATGTACAGGCGCACGTGTCCACACACAACTCTACATACAAATAAGCAGGGAATTAATCCATGCATATGCCTCCTGTGTCTCAAACATGACACGATCTGCCCTCATCAGACTTGATCTACCCGAGGAAGAATTGACTGAGTGAAATACAGGAAAATGCCGTTAAGACGGTAGTGGGGAACATAGAAGTGAGAGCTGTCTGTGAGTAGGACACGGTCAGGCTGCAGTGAAGCGACTGTGACTGTTGTGGGGAGGATGCGTTGCCCTGAAAAGACCAAGAGCGAGGCCCTTTGTTTCTGGAAGGATCAAGCAGAGATGCGCTTCCCCCGTGTTCATGGAAGCCCCCCAAACTCCTCTCTGAACCTTACCTAGCACATCACCATGCAGTCTGCCGACCCTCAGACCTTTTCTCCCTTTTCCCTCAGCTCTTTAATCTTAACAACAGACACGCACCTGTGAAATTAGGAACACTGTCTTTGATGTATGCAAGTGTTAAGTCCGGCCTCCCAGGGTTCCCATGGCCTTCCACACACGGAAGAACTCGGATGCTTTTAGCAGGAAAAGCTTCGAGTCATCGCTTTATTGACTGACTTGGCCCAGCTTAGTGAAGGCACAGAGCAGTGAGGAGCCCTGGCTTCTGGGGCCTCAGCCCCTCCCAGGAGAGCTCCTTGCCCCCGTGCGCCCTGAGATGGAGCAGAACATTCCGACACAGGCCCTCCACGCTGCAGCTCAGGACAGCCTGGAGTGCCGATCCCAGCCGACCTGGCTCTTCTTCGCCATGAAGGCTGCACTGAGAAGCACTGTCTGTCCTCTCCCCTCGTTTTCTCATTACGACCTCCAGACAGCAGGGAAATCTCTAGATTGATGTATGAGGTGCTTCTTTCCAAGGTGCGTTCTAGCTTTAAGATTCTTTTATGCCCTAGAAAAATTCCCCCTCACATTTAGTAAAGGCCTCTTCTGAAATGATGTTTCAGCCTCTGTATTTCCCCTGAATTCTCTTGAGCATCTGTGTTCTTTTTCACCTGGCTGATTTCTAAAAACATAACATGCTTACTCTGATATTTTGTCTTTGTGCTCTAAAAAATGCTGTCAAATTAGACATAAAGTGACCTAATATCCCATCTGCCAAAAATCACGCACAGACCTGCTCAAAATGAAGGTTATGAAACAGATTAAGTGTTGCATTTAGTTCCTGCAGGTTGTAAATGAAGGCTAGCAGCCATTCATTTAGTATCTGTTTACTGGGACCATAGCACTTACTGGGTGCTGCAGGAACAGGGTGAATGAGGAGGGCGATGACCCCAGAAACAAGTCCACAAGTAACTAGGATGATCTCAGAGGCTGATAAACCCTGTAATGAAAAAAGGAAGAATGTGTACGAGTTCCTCTGTGGTCAGGAGATGCCTTGCAGACGAGGCTGCATTTGGACTGTGACCTGAATTAACAGGACCAAGGTGGCTCTGTGAAAATTGGGAAGTGGCTTAGGAGGGAACACGCTTGGCACATCTGAGTAATGAGCTGAAGCCGGAGATGCAAGAAGGTTCCAGATCGTGCTGGGGGCTTCTGGGTCACATAAGGAGTTTGAATCCATTCTAGAGCATAGAGGGAAGCTGTTGGAAGTTTGTAAGCAGGAGGTGATTTGTGTTTTAGCAAAATCCCCCTGGCTGCTGGGTGCAGAATAGACTAGAGGGGTGCAGGACCGAGAAAGCTAGAAGACCATTATGGTGTGGCAGGGGAAGGGGGGGATGGCAGCTTGGGGAGAGTGGAGGTGGAAAGAAATGGCGGATATAGGACATATCCTGGGGACAATGTTGACTAAACCAGTTGGACTTGCTGAAGGATTAGGTTTTAGCAGGTGAAAGAAAGGGAGGAATCAAGAATGGATATAAGATTTTGACCTGAACAGTTGAGTATACAGTGCTGTTATCTACACAGAGAGGAGGTGGGAGGAAGACCCAGCTCCCGGTCTCTCCAACCCAAAACAAATTGGGACACCATGTTTGCACTCAGATAGGCTCTCCATGCAGCTGCTTGTATTTTTTCAACGTGGAACCTTCCTTAAGGACTCTCTTGATCTCCATCCTCCTACAAAGTAGTTGGACTATGAGAAAATGGAGACAAATGATGGGACCTAAGAAGAAAGAGGGTTTCCATCTGCCAGAGGCTGTGGGGCCAGAAGGAATAGCGGCCTCTTGTGTTTGCAGGAAGGAGAGCATGTGAGGTTCTGGGGGCACCGTGGTAGCAGGCCCCACCTCCAGCCAAGCCTCATGATCTGTAGGATCACTGGAGAGATTCGGATCCAGCCACGGATTCCATTTAACTTTTTGGGTACAGACTTGCTCTTCCACAAACACACAGTCCCTAAGGAGGCTGAGCAGCGTGAAGTCTTGCTTGGACGTGGAATGTGCTAACTTGGGTTTGAAGTCCAGCTCTGAAACTGGTGAATCATTGAGGCTTCAAACCAGCTACTTAACTTTTTGGCCTTACTTTCTCTATCTGTAGGATGGGGATGAAAATGGTTACCTCATAGGGTTGTTTTGAGGGTTAATTGAGGTGGTTTTATATAGCCAGTATTTTGTCCAGTGTGTGGCAGATGAGACCTGCACAAGTTATGATACTTACGTATCTGTGTATATGTGAGGTTGATGGCTCATCTCTACCCATATTTATTTGTGCATTTCCCTTTCTGTAATACACAGTAAACTCCTGTAGTTTCCCGAGGTCCCAGCAGGGTCCATCAGTGACATTCATGGGCACCAAGGTTTTGGTTCTTAAAACATTTCGGAAGTCAGGGACCACTTTGAATTAGATAACATCTTTGGCCTTTTCCCCAGGGAAGAAGATATGCATATGCATGTAAATACACACACACACACACACACACACACTTAACTTTACACAAAATTCCAAAGAGTATTCTATATATATATGCAACATATCATCAAACTGTATGCTTACATACATATATACAGTAAAGTGAAAAAAAATTGCTATGCCTTAAGAATAGCTTTAGAAAGAAGGAAGCAATTTAAAGGAAGAAAAACTCTGTAAGCTTTTTTTTTTTTTAATAGTTTATACAAATACTAAAGTCCATTCGAGGAGCTGAGCTGAGAAACCCTTACTAGTGGTAGTGGGGCCATGGCAGAAAGATGGAAATGCTAAAACCTTCGGGTTTCCCAGAACCTGCCAGCCTGAGCCATCTGTCCAGCCTTCTTTGTGTATTGCATAATGTCAAGACCTTCCTGCAAGGAAGATGCCTTTTTCTGTCCACCCTATTAATCTCCTGTTGAATCCAGCCAGTATGAACAGGGTCAGTGGCAAAGCTTACTTTTGATTGAGTCAGAAAGCAGAAGCCAGGAATCTGGTCTTGCCTTCCTGGGGCCATGACCCTCCGAGGTTTGTTTAGGAAAGCTTCTTTCTGATATGCTTCTGACTGCAGACAGGGGACTCGGGGGAGTGACCCTGTTATGCTGACCTTGGTTTCTCTGATTATTTGAATATGATAAGACTCGTGTCTTGGCCACACTGGGCCCCAACACCAAGGTGGCCCTTTCTGCACATTTTCTTTATCATTCTCTTCTTCTGTGGGTCTCTGCCTGCCGCTGTGACAGCATTTCTTTCTGCAAAGCCTCCATGAGGGAGGTCAGGAATGAAGGCTGGGGATACACTGGGTTTGCCTCTGAAGGGAATGGTGGCATCTGGCTCACAAAATGATAGTTCTCAATTTGTTCTGCCAGTGATATTTGAGCCCAGCCACAAAAGGGCATGCAGACACTTCATTGGGAGTGGAAAATAGTCTCGATGATAGATGGCCCCAGGGACCGTTGTGGAGTTGGTCTTCATATGCTCTCACTTTAGAAATGATGTATTTTAGGCAATAAACATTTGATGCCAATTTTCCCTTTAGTTGATACACTGTGACCAAGCGCAGCTGTAGTAAATTAGCTGCACATGCCGCCTGAATTAATCAAGAAATAATGGCGCATCATTCTAGTATTAAAAAATATGTTTCTTCAAATGTTGCTCTGTGAGAGGGCTCTTTGACATTCTGAAATTTTTTAGATGGACCGGTAATGGGCTTCTTGGAAATCTCAGAACAAGGAGCCACAGAGGCTCCCTGAGGAAGCTGAGGCTGGGCACAAGACGTTCGCGCTCCCTGCCGTTCCGGAAGGTGCAACGGGCCGTGCTACTGATAATAGTTCCTGGCTTCCTTAATGGGAACGCTTTCTTAAAAATACAAGCAAGAAAGATTCTTAAAGCCAAATCCAACCTTTAAGCGAAGTAATATTTTTTCTTATTTGTTTTCCTTCAGCTTACAGATATCTCCTCAAATAGGAAACCCAAATGTCTGTATGTATATCTTTTTATACTTGGACCATTTGATTATGTTTGCATGATGTACTTTCCTGTTACATTTTTTTTTAATATAATATCTGTATTCTAAATGGATTTGAGAGTTTCCGATGAACATGCACCTGCCTGGGAACCTAATTTTGTAAATTGTGGTTACAACTTTTAACTATGCTAATAGCCTATTAGTTTCTGGCAGTATGTTAGTACCCAGTATTTTTACAGTATTCTATAGTGTGACTTTCTCTTACTGAGGTATAGTATAATCATCATAGCTCTATAGTAGTATTAATATAGTATATATTCCACGTTAGATATACATAATATAAATATATGTATAAATTTATGCTGGGAATCACATAATCACATACTTTATGATTGCTGCATGACTAATACTGCTATATACAGTCACTGAGTCAGGGGTTTGGATTCTGGTCTCATCTTTTCCATAGACCAACCGTATGTATTATTCCAGGGAGTCCCTTCCATTTTGGGGGACTCAGTTTTGTCAGTGGTAAGAGAACTAGTAACATCTCCCTGAGAATTTGCCATCATGAGATTATTTCATGAAAGCCACAGGACTTTTTGAAAGAAAAATACCAATTCCTGTTTGACTTACTGGCAGCATTTCTACCACTCCGGTGTGCGGGAGTAATTGTGCCGTGGATGGTGTTTGTTTTTTTTTTTTTTCCTCTTCTTTTCCTTTTAAGGTTCTAAACAAAATCTTTCTTTCTGCTCATCTTCGTCTGCTCAACCGTCTGTAGAAGTAGAGGGCACCCACATCCTGCATGTAACCACGCTGATCTCAAGACCCACTTCCATCCAAAAGGAAGGAGCTACCTGAGAAAAGCCAAGGATGACAGAGCCAGCATGCAGCCTGCTAAATCCATTCATGAACAGGCTGAGTCCCCAAGAGAACTCTGCAGACCGTCGAAGAAAGGGGAGCCTCTGGGGTTTAGCCGGAAGGGCAACATCAGGCCCAAAATGGCCAAAAAAAAGCCAACAGCAATTGTGAACATCATCTGAAAGAGTCATCGGCGGGCTTTGCAGAACGTTGCTCTGGGGGCCAACGGTAATGCCTTTTGGGGTACATCCCACAATGAGACACATTAGAAAAAAGAAGGGCAGAACACGTTTATTTCGTGGCCGAACAGGCACCTGGATTAACCAGAATTTAACAAATGGGAATCTTGGGGAACCAGAAATTTATTACAGGCTCCTTTTAGAACCAAGAGGCAGGTTACAGAAAGAATTGGAAAAAACAAAACAAAACAAACAAAACTGGCTTATTCCAAAATTTTAGTTAAAAGAAAGCTCCAACTTGTAAAATAAACAGACCACTCTCCAGTAGTTTCTGCATCTGGGGTTCTGTGTGGGGGTGATTCAGCCGAGGCCCAGGGCCACACCAGATGTCGGGCACTAGGAAAAAAGTCTTCTGTGTCTGCTGCTCTCTAAATTGTGGGACAAAGAATAGGAATGCAAAGTTCTCTTAAGAGCAGTGCAACAGTAATATTTTTACTTGTTTTTAACTTTGCCTTCAATTAATTTGAAAGTTTCCAAAATAAGGATTCCTGTTTCCCCAACTATTGTGGTTAATTAAGATTCCAGTGTTTGGGTGGCTTCCGGGATTCGTCTCCTTCGACTTCAGTTCTCATTTCTAGTTTGTTTGATTCAGGTTTGTTGTTTCTCTGGATGCGTGTTTTTTTCTGATTTGGGGGTGCCTCTGCTCTCTCCTTCAGCTGAGTGTTCTGTACCCCGAGACCAAGCTGCAGCCTCTGTCTTCAAAGCCCCTGTGGCTGGGACGGAGAACCCCATCAAAACCTTCCAACCACGAAACTCTTTGATGAACACCCATCAGCGGTTCCGGGTCTGAAGGGCTGAAACAGCACCGGATGGCACGTCTAGTGCCCCGTGAGCCAGGGCCTGGCAATGCTGGAGACGTGACTCAGCCCTTCCCTGCTTCCCTGGGAGTAGCAGCAGCCACTGTGGGCTGTGGACATGACTGTTCCCTTGCAGGCCTCACTTTTCCACCTCCTGCTGCTTCTGTGCCCTTTGATGACTAAATATACGTCCTTACCTTTCAACCAGGTGTTTGAAGCTTTCACTGGACACTGCTTTCTAAAGTAGTTTCTGAAACAGTGCATGTGGGATCTACAGTCTGAGACTGTTCTCCTGTCCCTCCCTAAAATAGCCTTCGTTTCCACAAAGAACCATCTGTGAAGGGCCTCCTGCTTTATGGTTCTCTTCAAGAATGAATTTCCATGTTAAACTTTTTTTTTTTTAACGTTAACAATATCATCAGGTCTTCAGAGTTTACAAGTGCTGACACCCTTCTGGAAAAAAGAGTAGTTATGTCCACAAATGTATACATATACATATATATATGTATATATATATAACACAAAATATATATGTCAGGTATATTAATAATTTATTTTTAAATACTCATGCAAAAGGTATGTGTCTGTGGTGGGTGGTTTTTAAACTATATACATTAGTTCATGTAAGCTGAATTCTCTTACTTTGAAAATTAAAACTGTAACCTAATTAACATTAGTAGAATGATTGTTATTGCAATAAACATCAGATTAGCAATGCATTAAAAATAGGTATAATGCAGTTACTTAAAATGCCAGTAAGTTGAAAAGTGTAACTTATCATTATACAAACATTTTGAACCTATCATAGTGAAAATGTTGTTTTTTGAACCTTCACTTTGACATCTGGCTCACGGGGGTGAGCCATTCGTCTGGTGTATAGGCAACTATCAAGTGGGAAAAAAACATTGCTGTGAAGTGAATATCACTGTTTTTGGCTAACATTGTAAAAATTGTAGTGTTACAATTATTGTTTATTTGGAGAGTTCATCTCCTCCAAAGTTATATATTATTGACATTTATACCATGATTGCACTCTAGCCTTTTACATACTAAAAAATTGACTCGTTAGTTGTATTGCATGCCCTTTGTCCTGTAACACGTGTGTACAATGACAACAGCTTGTTTTTAAAGGCGGTAGAGCCAGATTTTTTTCGTTTTATTTAACATAACCTACATTTCCAGTTTTAATTTAATATGCCTTGAGGGCATGACAGCTCTCTTTGACAGTGGTACTCTGTGATCTTCAGAAAGCACCATAATGTCATATCTACTCGATGTACATTACACAAGACAAATGACTTTTAAGATTATATTAAAAAATTCTTTTTAATTCCAACTAAATTCTGACCTTCATACAAGGCACTGCATTATATATGTTGTGCTTCCTTAGAGACATAAATTTGCTGTTGAACGTGGGAGCTGGCTCACTTTAGGGGATATTTCACTTACATGCCATGGCCCGGGCCATGTACCATGTCCCACTTGGGTCTTATTTTTAAATATATATATATATTTTTTGTCCACATGGCCAGTCAACCTGCGAGTTGATTTTTGGAGAAATTACCAAAGTTCCTGGGAAAACATGTTCAAGGCTAAACTGAAGAATGGATCTAATTTTATTATCTGTTTTGTAAGGAAGAAATTTTTCTTTGAACTCGTCTTTCATTCTTTTATTCCCAAACTAGGTTATAGATTTTCAACTGCAAAGTTCAGGTTGCTAAGACACTGTTTTCTAGCATTCTGCAGGGTAGATCAGTTTTATGGAATCTGGAATGTTCTTTTCCCAGAATTGAAAAGAAAAAGTTTTTAGATTATGAAATAAATATTATAATAATAAAGCTATATTTATGACTAATGTGTTGGTATGTTTTGTCTAGTTGAAATGTTTCTGGGAAGCCAAGTGTGCTGGTCTGTTGAACAGTGAACAAAATGGTTTTTCATGAATAAGCTGTTCACCGTACATAAAATCACCATGATCTTGTACCTATAAAGCTTTCTTGAGAACTTAGCTGGATCGTTTTTATTTATCACAATGCCTGTATCTAAAAGTTCTTTTTACATATGTTCACACTGAGAAGTCCTCATTAAAAGCCCATTTGTGCTTTTCTCCCATCTTCCTCCACACTATGAGTAATTTTCCTACACTCTATTTTTAAACTTGGCAACTCTTAGCAAAAACCATGGACAGATTTCACAGTGTACATCCCAGCTTATATAGGCCATACATCTCAGTCATTGTAAGACCCAGAGAGTGATTACAATAGATAACAGAACTACTGTATATCACTAGTAAGTTACTTAGCCATTTGTCCTTTAAGAGCCATGGAATTGGGAAAATTTAGGGGATGCCATTTGTTTAGGAGCTGTTAGAGCTTTTAAGGAGATAACCTTAGTCTGTTCTTACACTTACTTGTGTTAAAGTTGATGGATTCACCAGGTCATATAGTGTTCTTGAAAAATAACTGTAACATTCTCAATTATCTCTGGGCATTAGAAAACATAAATAAATCCCAGTATCTTAATTCTGTTTAGGCTGGATCCTTAAAAAATGAGTTCTGGAGATGGCATACATGCAGGACCAAACACAAACCCTGGAAACATTTCAAAATTTAAACAACGGGGAGCTTTAGACACTGAATTGTGTGTGTGTATGTATAATTAAGCTGGTGAATTTTTTTCTTTTTTTTTCCCATTCTTTTCTGTCCATGTTCTATATTAATAAAATGGACACATCTGAAATTTTCATTTAAGACAGACTTGGGATGCCTGGGTAGCACTGTTGGTTGAGGGTCAGACTCTTGATTTTGGGGTCAGGATTGTGAGATTGAGCCCTGTGTCGGGCTCTGCCCTCAGCAGCGTGGTCTGCCTTGAGAGTCTCTCTCCCTCTCCTGCTGCCCTTCCCCTCGACACTCTCTCTCTCTCTCTCTCTCTCTCTCTCAAATAAATAAATCTTAAAAAAAAAAAAAAAGAAGAAGAAGAGCATCTTTAATCTGTAGCACTATGCTGTTTTTACTCTACATTTGTAGACATTTTTCTAAGACCTTCTAAGCCATTCCAAGAAATGAGCTTTTCTCAGAGAGGAACCTCACATACAGGCAGGCCTGGCTCTCCTGCCCACGCTGTAGTGGGGACACTGGTAAGTTTTGTAAATGTGGAGGCAGGTGTGGGGGATGGTGAATGGGAGCTTTGATACCCATGTCCTGTGGGAAGAGGAGACATGATCGCTATCTCTGAATATCTGAAGTACTGTCTCATTCAAGGATACTTATTTTGTGTGGGTACGCAAGGCACTATGAAAATCAGTCAATGAGAGTTCTACAGAAGCAGACATTAAGTCATTCGATAAAACATGTCTAAGTGCAATGCGGAGGAGGTCATCTCGTGAAGAGTGAGCTAGCTCCCTGTCTCTGTGCAAGTTCCCTCCTTTGTGGTTGGGACTCTACTTTGGGTAGGGAATTGGACCGGGAGTCTTCAAATAACATCCAGCCCTGGGATTCTGTCATAAGTATGGATATCACATTATTGTAAATGTTGGCTGCGTCAAACAATGTGGACGTGACAAACTGGTTTTGGAAATTTTACTCCACTGACGTGGACTTTGTGAATTTTCCTGTGACGTGTTTCCACAGCTAACCTCATGAAATGCATTGGAGGTGGGTAGGCATGAGGAGGTATCATTTTCTTCTCTTAGTATGTGCAGAAACATTATCAGGGGAAATGGGAGAGGGACACCTGGCCCTGTTGCCTCAGTCGGGACCATGTACTTCTTGGGAAGGATCTTACCTCACGTGGTTTCGGTGTTTCAAGAGACAGTATGGCTGTCTCTTGGTACAGTGTGGCTCCCAAATGCAAGCCAGTTAATTCTCCTGGTGTTCAGTTGAGTCAACAGCAGTGCTGTCCAGTGCTGGGGGAGGAGGGAAACATTGGACTTAGAGATGACATGTGGTATATCAGGCTCCAATATCATGCCTTTCTCAAGCATTTTTCAGGTGGTTTTGATGATACTTGATTTTTGCTTCCTGATGATACTTAAGAACGTGACTTCACCATATTTTACAATGAAGGTGGGGCTTATAATTATTGAGAAATGTTGTCCAGGGCCCAAGAGCTCCTTCATGACAGAGCCAGAATGAGATCCAAAATACCATCTTCCTGAATCTCAGCCTGTGCTCTTTTCACCACTGTGCCATCTCTTTGACAAGAGTCCCAGAAAATGGCCCTAAGTCTGTGTATTTGTTGATCACACAATTGTTCCCAATGTCCTACAATTCAGTTTTATATTTGTTATCAATAATTGTACCTTTTTAGGAGCGCATGGGTGACTCAGTGGGGTTAAAGCCTCTGCCTTCGGCTCAGGTCATGATCTCAAGGTCCTGGGATGGAGC